GTAAAGGTCAGGGATGGTTTGGTTTAGATAAGTTAATATATGATAGTAAAATGTATTTTTAAATGAATTACATAGCTTAGATACTTTTCTCTTAATAATTAAATGAGTTCATTATAATTTTCGTACATTACTCATCCGCCTTGTGGCCCCAAATTAGCCTTAAATGCGGCTGCCCTCGTATGCCTTTTGTTTGATTTTCGCCTTTTGTTCCCCGCACTTCATCGATGAGCAATGAAATGAGGCACGACCTTTTCATGTAAAATTAATAATATGGCACAGGGTCTACTCTACCCTGAGCGATCCGAGCGATGTCAAGTGCTGTGCGCTATATGCGCGGCGGCGACCTCCCCGACGTTTTTCATTGAGAGGCATTTTTCATGACCCACAAAAGCCAGCGCCGAAGGCTCCAAACCGAAAATAAAACTTGCTTGTGCGGGGGCTTTCTTTTGTCTTCCAAGAAACTTCAAGAAACTTCGAAAACAAACGCATGATGGCTTCATTATTATTATTGTTATTATTTTTATTATTTGGGGTTCAGTTCGGCCCCTTTCTTTGGCATATCATTTCTTTTGTGTGCCCCCCTTTGTTTGTCCGTTCGGCTCTTTCCACACACTCTTCGATCGCGCTGTAAACAACTTACGCAAGCAAACCAAAAACCAAAAAACAGAAAAAACAGAAAAACCAAAAAACCAAAGCAACAACAATTGTGTCGTTTATGTGACTTTACGTAAAGCCATCCAAAAGGTGTCTGTGAATCACCTTTCCTATACCAATAAGCCCCACAAACGAAAGTAGGCCTCTTCCTCCGCTCGTTGGGTGCATTGAACTCGAGTGTGTCTCTCGTAAACAACAAGTTTGGTTTTCGGCTTTCGTTTATTACTTCCCCGTAATTCAGGAAGTTGGCCGCACAAATGCCCAAAACAATAACAAGAAATCATAAACAATTCGAGTTTAGAAAGCAACTCGATACAAGGCACTTGGGATGGCACGGCGCAAAATGAGGCTAGCCTCGCGTCTTGTCGCAGTGAAAGTGAAACTTGTTAATTGGCTTATAATTGCCGGCATTATTGTGAATGTCAATTATGACCAAAGCGATGCTATTGAACTGGTTTCGAGTCTCTCAAGCGGCTAAAGAAGAAGCTTACATAAGATTTGCCTTGTAAATGAGAGATGAGATATTAGGAAAAATGTATCTCACAACTATATTCTTAGATAAGTAAAAACAAATGCAAATAATTTCCATAGCAGATGACACAACTTGAGGGGTACGAAATAATGGGTGTAATTACAAAAAAGCCCATTAAATTACGAGCCTGTTATCACATCGCAATCGTTTCGTTTTTGGGCCACCTTCGCCCTGCTTGAATCCAGTTGTCTCTCCTCTTTAGCCCCAATCTGCGGGTCGTTATGCAACCTTTATAGGCCTAGCCAACTCATGGTGTTGACCAATCCAGTCGCTTGCATTTCCACGGCACGCACGAAAATTTCTACCCGAAAAAGAGCCAAACAACTTTCACTTTTACTTTCGTCGCATCGCCGGAATGATTATTAAATGTTGCTCGTTGTTCGTTCGCTCGTTCGTTACGTTTTTGTGGCCTCATTCGGGCGGCCAGGTTCATTGACCATTGACGATGGCGGGGTAAACCGAAACTTCGCGATGACAAAGCCAGAGTTTTGGATAAACAAACAATCTGGAGCACTCACGTCAGTGGGCGATGATCGCCGCAGTGGGTGAGTCAGCCATGAAGGCAGAAAAATAGAGGAAAAAGATCTGCATTCAAATGCAAACTCAATGTTTAACCCTCGAACGGGCAGACGGGGCCAGATACATCGTAAATTATCCACTCGGGCATGAAGTCATCATGAAGTGTGATTTAGCAATCTCATTACTGGCCTCAGCCTCCAGTCTAGATTTTCCACCTGCCAACGTGACGTATGCGCAATGTTTCACCCACATCACTCATACGCACCGCGAAAAATGTCCCGCTGCAAAATATTCAAAGTGCGGCAAAAGCTTTACTGAAAGCTTGCAAAACTCAACACTATTTGCTCTTAAGTGGTGAAAAGCTCTGTGAAGCCTAAGAGTACTTAAGAGAGTGGGCAGTGCTCTTTTCTCTTCCGAGTTTGTTGAACTTTCCTTCGATGCCCAAGAAAAGAGAGATATAAGCGCCGATAAAGCGCCCTTAAAGAAGAAGAGCTGTGGCAAGCTTATCAGGAAAGCTTATCAGTGGTTGAACTTGCTTTGTGCGTGGGGTGGGTCATTGTTTCAATATATTTAAGAACAATTACAGTATGCAAATATGTACATGATAAATATTATGGGAACAAATATTATTTTAGCATAATTAGTTACGGAAGCTTGACACGATTTCAACTTTATGTTTTATAAAAGTGTATAATCAAGTAATGTTAATAAATACATTTATATTTTAATAACTTTTATTTTGAAATCTTGAAAAATTATGTTTTAAACCAAGACTCAGATACTTAAAGAGCTGCGCTTCTTATCACTGCCTCAGTTCTCTTTCGTTGGCTTGTTGCCCCCGCAGAACAACAAAGGTTGGCAAAGAGCTTTTGCCGCTCTTAAGCCCGCTCTCTTTGGCTCTCTTCCACCGCTCCGTTGGTCGTTGCCTCTGCGGCTTTTCGCCCGTGTGTTTTTGTGTTTTGTGCGGCGTTTTCAGTTTTCTGTTTCTGTTTCGGTTTCTGTTTTGAGACCGAAGCTCAGTCGCCGTCGCAGTCGCCGCAGTTGAGGTTCGCTCTCCTCGATTTGCCAGATACAGATACAGATACAGATACCATACCATACCGTACCGAACCCTACTCTGGGTATATTCGTAACGCGCTTTGGCTTTTACAGTTAGTCGCGTTCGAGACCTTGTCGAGTTTTGTCATATTAGCCAGCGATCCGCGGGATCCGAAATAAGCCAAGAATAACGGGAGTGCGGCTGGTGCCACAAGCAACTAAACCCATATTTAAGGGCAATATCAGTTAAATTAAATTAAATTAAATTAAACAAAAAGCTGATCAATGCCAATGAATGTTAAATGCAATTGTTAATGTGAAGAAAAGTCGACCAAGTCTCCCCAAAAAAAAAAAACTACTCACTCGTCTGTCTGGATTACGCGCCTAAAACCACCAACCAACCAAAACCAACCACTAATTTATTTGCTAAATATTCCAAAAATTCAATCAATGTGAAAAGCAAGCAAACAAAGTTCCTCTCACAACAAAACAGCAGTTGATAAAAAATATTTAACCGAGATTAAGTGCAACTAAGATAACAAGTTTTCTCAAACAAAATAACCATATGTACCTGAGTACCAACCAAAAAGCTGTGTGTGTGCCAAAAAAAACCCAGAAGAATTATCCAAAAAATATTTAATGAGCAAGCTCAACTGAGTGGTTGATGTGCCCCCAAAGGGAGAAGTGACCAAGTCAAGATATTTTGTCAAAATAAACCCCGAAAACAAGCACAGAAAACATAAAAATGGGCGAAGAACTGCCGATATTGAAGGGCATACTCAAAGGCAATGTCAACTATCACAATGCGCGTAAGTTAACCGATCCGAAAGTCGCACAAAGTCTGAGTTAGAAAGTGAAAGAGCCAAACAACAATTTCCCTAAGCCAGCTGACATAGATTTGGCTATGTAAAAAGAGTTGAACGAAATTCAAATAACACCCAGCTTTCGGTTTCAAAAAAAAAAAAGCTGACAAACTCCCAGAGAAATGCAGGCGTTCTGAGATTCTCCACTTTTGATTTGCTTTTTGTTTACTTTTTTTCGATGCCTCCAAACAAATAGCAACAGCCAAAAGCGAGCGCCATTGAAGTGTTGACCTCGTTTATAAACATACAATAATTTTTTCTTTGCCGCGGAAGAGCTTTAAACTTGAATCGAAACTGCGGCGAAGGCAGCGTTGCGTTGCTATTTTCTAAAAAAAAAACAGAAAAAACTGAAAAAAACAGTCGAAAGAGCGGAGCAACAATATCGCATGTTTGACCAACTTTTTCAGTCTCTCCGCATGGGAAAGTTGGACGTTGCGGCGCGTCGCTCTAATTTCTACGCGCAGCCCGTCGCTGCGCCTGCGCAGACTTCATTTTCCATTTCGTTTGACCTGGATTTCGCTGCGCAGCAAGTGGGTCACACTCTCTCGCTGGCTGCTGGAAAAAGCAGTGAAAAATCAGTAAACGAGCTGTTTCACTTTTGCCAACGAGCCGGAGTGAAATTGTGCGCGTAGAAATTTCTTTTGACATTGAAAAGTTGGCCAAACATTTGTCAGATTTTTTTGATGGTTGCAAATGGCCAGGGGGCTTTGGGAAAATAATGCAAATGGGGTAAAAGTGTTCCAAATGAGCATATAAATTAGTTTCGAAGTGGGAAATAAATTAAGTAATTTCTAAAGTATTTCTAAAATTTATAAAAACATTGTTAGTTATTTAAAAAATCTCCTAAAACCTGTTTAATTATAAATTAAACTCCCCTTGATCGTTTGCAAACCTTCTTCTCAATTAGCAAGCCCACAATGCGACCGACTTTTATCGATCCCTCTCCTCTGCACTCCTCTGTGATTTATTCCTAGTGCGAAAAACGTGACCGCAAACGTGCCTGATTTTTTCCTCTCTCGTTGGTGAAATGTGAAAGTTCACCCACATACAAATTTTTTCGGCTGCGGCCAAAGGCAGAAATTAAAAATCTAAAAAAAGAGAAAGTGTAACAGGGGAGAGAAGACCGAAGACCGAAGACCGAAGACTGACAGACTGAAGACGAAGAAACACAGAGGCAGCTGAGGCAATGACCCACTTCGAAGGGCAGTAAATTGCAGGGGAGAGCGGGGCACTTCCTGCGTGACAACAGGACAACAGCTGTCCGTTGCACCTGCTCTGCGTGCAGTGAAGTGTGCAATTGATGGGGGGCACCATAATTTTATGCTCAAGTTTAAGTTTAAGCACCGCTTACAAGGCCGAAAATTAACCAAAAACCTATCTTCTTGCCATTGCAGCTGTGCGTTTTGGACGCGTGCCGAAGCGCGAAAAGGCGCGTATCCTGGCGGCCATGCAACAAAGTACCCAGAATCGCGGCCAGCAGAGGGCCCTCGCCACCGAGCTGGATGACCAGCCACGCCTCCTCGCCGCCGTGCTGCGCGCCCACCTCGAGACCTGCGAGTTCACCAAGGAGAAAGTCTCGGCGATGCGGCAGCGGGCGCGGGACTGCCCGTCCTACTCCATGCCCACACTTTTGGTGAGTCCTACTTTGAGTTCTATCTTCTAGATAAGAAAATATAGGTACCAAGAACGGAAAATGTTGAGAAAATGTAATAGGATCGAAGATAATACGGATAATATAGGTATTCTATAGTCTTTGGTAGGTTATACTATGGTAGAAGGTTTAGTAAATATTGAATGTATGATATACTTTTGAGGGACGTATACAGTTAAAACATATAGATCACTAAAATAATAATATATTTTTTAAAGAACCTAACAATTAATGTATAGTATATCATTACTACACCACTTACAGTACTATCATAAATAACCATTGGCCATAAAATTATGAAAATGCCAGCTGCCCTAGGTCTATCAGTACATTATTAATAGTCCGCCAAAGGTTACGGCGTAGGCGAAGTCACATTTCCGGGCCGCCGACTTCTGTTGACATGCATAGATCAGCTATTATAGTAACAACAACATTTGTAGACTAGCTAGTTACTGCTTACTGGTGGTGACTGCCTACTGCCGGCGTTAGTCATGCGCCAAGGTGAACCTGTTTGCACGATTCTAAACCAGGAAATCGCGGGCCACACGTAGACGCGTCTACAAGCGCGACTCTTTCGGTCTTCGGCGATTCTTGCGGGGCCTCCAAACGTGGCCATTGAAGTGGCAAGTTTGGGGTCAAGTTCTTGACGAAAAGCCCGTCAATGTCAAAGTTGTGACGTTTCTTTTGACAGCTGACGGATGATGAATGCTGGCTATCGCTCTTTGTAAATTCCATTTTCTGTTTGCTTTACAATTTTTGGGGTCAGAAGAAATGGTTGATCAGATTCGTTGCTGAAAATAATACCCATAAGAACCATTTGTTATACCAAAACCGAAAGCGATAAAGAAAAGTGCTTCATACATACATACTTATAAAAAAACGTGTCCCGGCTCTCGGCAACAACAAAGTACACAAATAAAGTTCTAAAGCTCAAGGTCAAGCGTAGCGTCATTATTAATGAAAGCACATATCGCGGGGGGAGGGGGGGGGAAAGAGAAGGGTAGTGAGAGCGAGAGAGAGACAGAGCACAGGATTAGAGGGAGACGGCTAGAACGGGCCAGACACATGCGTTGCCATTTAAATAAATTATTATTAAAATATTTAAAAAAGCTACATCAGAACTCACAAAAAAAATGTGAAAAAACAGCGGTACAAAAAGTTAGAGTCAAGTGCAAGGCTAAAAAAGTTAAAATTTGATTTGGTGATTCGAGAAGAAAGAAATCCAAAGCGATCGACAGTTCAAGAAGTGCCATATTATACTATATAACACACAAACAGCGGTGGAGAACGACCTTGGGGCGAGTTATTTTTCAACCTTGGAAAGAACGAAATGAGCGGACCTATCGCCTCCCTCTCTTTCTCTGTTTGCAGTTGATATTTCCACTATATATGAGTAAACAATAATGGCACTAAAAAATATGCATAAAATGTCATGAGTATGAGGAAGCGAATGCCAGACGAACGGCGTCACAAAAATGCAATATACATATATCTACGTTTCTATATAGAGGGACAAAAGTACGGCGAGAGCAATCTGTAAGATTGTCAGGTGGTTCATTAGGAAGCGTCGTAATATTCCGTTTTATGACGGAAGGCGGAAGATTCGCCGGCGGTGCAAGGTGAGGTTAAGTCGCAGCGATCTCGGCAATTCCCTGCTAATTCCGCATAGAAATAGAATAGAAATTCCTCTAGCCAAACGATTAGCCCTAAAGATTATTCAATCTGGCAGTCCATATCAGCCGGTACAGGAGTTCTGCGAATTATTTTTGGCAAGAACACGAGGACCAACGCCAATTGAAGGTCAGTTCGGTTGGGTTGGGATCTTGTGATATGTCGGGGAATTCGGGGAGCGCTACCCAGTCATAAATAGCAGCCCCCACCGCTCACCCATTAGTACACTCGCAAACTATTTCCGCTTTTGCGCAAATGGGAAATATATTTTCGTGGCGAAAAATCAAATGATACGACGACGTCAAAGCGCCGGCGAAAGGAAAATGCGGGGGAAAATCTGCTTGCCGGTTGCCGGCTGCTATTTTCCCGCTCTCTCTCTTGCGCGAGCCAATTTCATTCTATTGTATATATTTTCCTTTTTTTTTTTTGCACAAAGAAAACACATTTTCAAGGTTAATCAGACGAAAATCGAAAGAGAAAAAAGAAGCGGCGGCAGACAGCACAACGTGTGCTTATTGAAACAGAACGAAACGAGTAAAAAAATTAAGAAACACACATGAAATCAAACGTAAATTAAAAATCAAGTTGCTGAAAACAATGGTGGGTAGCTCACAATGATGATGATGATGTCTGGGGCACTTGGCGCATGTTCATGTAACTCAAAACCCGGAAAGCCGAATGGCGAAATAACATGAACATTCGCTTGGCTTAGACTGGGCGCAATTCCACCCCCTTTTCCATACCGCTGGCGGAAAAAAAACACGCGCCGAAAGCAGGAAAAAGAAAAACAACTATAGTAACGGCACACAATCCGGAACCTTGAACTCTAGTTCGTCGACCTTGGCTGCTAATGTCAGCAGTAAAAGCTCACAACTATGGGGGATGTACCGTGTATATAGGGAGGGTGGGAAAAGCGGGAGCAGCCCCTAGAAACTAGAACCAAACCAGAAAACTAACAGCCAGCTGACGTAGGCGAAGCTTTTCTTTCTATTTTTTTGTATAAACTAAAAAGCTTCCAGCGGTGTTTAAGGAAATGCGACATTCATAGAGGGAGACGGCAGATAGCTGGCGTGGTGGGCGTGCGGAAGTACAAATAGTTATTATTATTGATTTAAATGAGTGGGCCAGGAGGGGAGGTTCGCTGACCTTCGCGTGTGAAATAAGCGATGACGTGATGGGGCAAGGGGAAAACTGCTACGCCAACTAGCCAAGCAACAGTTACGGGAAAAGTTTATCATATATTATCTATAGACAGGTTCCATGACAGTAGCTACAACTTTGTATAAGTTTGGTATTGGAATAAATCATACTCCTGTATTATACTTTAAAGTATTTAATCTTAGATCCTTAGCATCATAGCAAAGTTCGGTGTTAGAAAAACTCTCATACCTGGATGTATTATACCCTTATTTAGCCAATTTATGATCCCCATGATCCTAGCACCCTTTCTAACCCATCATATCTTGTTTTTCCTATCATTACAGGCCTGTCCGCTGAACCCCGCCCCTGAGCTGCAATCGGAGCAGGAGTTCTCGCAGCGTTTCGCCCACGTGATCCGCGGCGTAATCGACTTCGCCGGCATGATTCCCGGCTTCCAGCTGCTCACCCAGGACGATAAGTTCACGCTCCTGAAGGCCGGGCTCTTTGATGCCCTATTTGTGCGCCTGATCTGCATGTTCGACTCCTCGATTAACTCCATCATCTGCCTGAATGGCCAGGTGATGCGACGGGATGCCATCCAGAATGGGGCCAATGCCCGCTTTCTGGTGGACTCCACCTTCAATTTTGCAGAGCGCATGAACTCGATGAACCTCACAGATGCCGAGATTGGCCTGTTCTGCGCCATTGTGCTGATCACACCTGACCGCCCTGGACTGCGAAATTTGGAGCTGATTGAGAAGATGTACTCGCGCTTGAAGGGATGCCTGCAGTATATCGTTGCCCAGAACAGGCCCGATCAGCCGGAGTTCCTGGCCAAGTTGCTGGAGACGATGCCCGACCTGCGCACCTTGAGCACCCTGCACACCGAGAAGCTGGTGGTCTTCCGCACCGAGCACAAGGAGCTACTGCGCCAGCAGATGTGGTCCATGGAGGACGGCAGCAACAGCGATGGCCAGCAGAACAACAAGTCGCCCACGGGCAGCTGGGCGGATGCCATGGACGTGGAGGCGGCCAAGAGTCCGCTGGGCTCCGTCTCTAGCAGTGAGTCCGCCGATCTGGACTACGGCAGTCCGAGCAGTTCGCAGCCACAGGGCGTGTCCCTGCCCTCGCCGCCGCAACAGCAGCCGTCGGCGCTGGCCAGTTCGGCTCCCCTTCTAGCCGCCACCCTTTCCGGGGGCTGTCCGCTGAGGAATCGGGCCAACTCCGGATCTAGCGGTGACTCCGGAGCAGCCGACATGGACATCGTTGGCTCCCATGCTCATCTCACCCAGAACGGGCTGACCATCACGCCCATTGTGAGACACCATCAACAGCAGCAGCAGCAACAGCAGCAGCATCAGCAGCAGCAGCAACAACAGTTGTGCCACCAGCAGCAGCAGCACCCACAATTGCACCACCATCTGACCGCCGGAGCAGCCCGCTACAGGAAGCTAGACTCGCCCACGGATTCGGGCATTGAGTCGGGCAACGAGAAGAACGAGTGCAAGGCCGTCAGCTCGGGTGGCTCCAGCTCCTGCTCCAGTCCGCGCTCCAGTGTGGACGATGCCCTGGACTGCAGCGATGCCACCGCCGCCGGCAATCAGGGCCAGCATCAGGTGCCGCACCCGCAGCTGAGTGTGGTGGCCGTCTCGCCAGTCCGCTCGCCCCAGCCCTCGAGCAGTGGCCATCTGAAGCGACAGATTGTGGAGGACATGCCCGTGCTGAAGAGGGTGCTCCAGGCGCCGCCGCTGTACGACACCAACTCGCTGATGGACGAGGCCTACAAGCCGCACAAGAAGTTCCGGGCCCTGAGGCATCGGGAGTTCGAGACCGCCGAGGCCGATGCCAGCAGTTCCACATCCGGTTCGAATAGTCTGAGTGCCGGCAGTCCGCGGCAGAGCCCCATACCCATACCGAACAGCGTGGCCACGCCCCCGCCCTCGGCGGTCAGCGCCGCCCTCGGGAATCCCGCCCAGAGCCAGCTGCACATGCATCTGACCCGCGCCAGTCCCAAGGCCTCGATGGCCAGCTCGCACTCGGTGCTGGCCAAATCGCTGATGGCCGAGCCGCGTATGACGCCCGAGCAAATGAAGCGCAGCGACATCATCCAGAACTACTTGAAGCGGGAGAACAGCTCGGCGGCCAGCAGCACCACCAACGGCGTGGGCAACCGCAGTCCCAGCAGCAGCTCCACGCCGCCGCCGTCGTCGTCATCCTCGTCGTCGGTGTCGGTTGGCCAGGGTCAGCAGCGGTGGGGCAGCAGCTCGGTGATCACCACCACCTGCCAGCAGCGCCAGCAGTCCGTCTCGCCGCACAGCAACGGCTCCAGCTCCAGCTCGAGCTCCAGCTCCAGCTCCAGTTCGTCCTCCTCCTCCACCTCCACATCCTCCAACTGCAGCTCCAGCTCGGCCGGCAGCTGCCAGTACTTCCAGTCGCCGCATTCGACGAGCAATGGCACCGGCACCCCCGCCGGCACCTGTGCTCCGGCCAGCTCCAGCACCTCGGGATCGGGCTCAAGTAGTGGCACCCCGCTGCTGGAGCTGCAGGTGGACATCGCCGACTCGGCGCAGCCGCTCAATCTGTCCAAGAAATCGCCCACGCCGCCGCCCAGCAAGCTGCATGCCCTGGTGGCCGCCGCCAATGCCGTTCAGCGGTATCCCACTTTGTCCGCCGATGTCACGGTGACCGCCTCGAGTGGCGGTCCTCCGTCGGCGGCGGCCAGTCCGGCACCGAGCAGCAGTCCGCCGGTGGGATCACCCAATCCGGGACTGACCAGCGCCGTTCACACGGTCAAGATGGAGGCGTAAGGGAGGCGGTTGCGCCTGGAGAAGTGGGAGAGACAGAGACTGGGAGTGGCAGTGGCAGTGAAGCAGGATCACCAGGGGTCACCAGGGATCTCCAGGGGTCACCAGGCATCCTTAGCAGGAGTTGAATTAAATTATTTTACCTTTTAATTGAGCCGTGTACAAAGTTTCAACGCAAAACCAACATGCATGCAATTTAAAAAAAAAAACTAATATTTAAAGCAACAACAAACAAAACAACTACAAGTTATTAATTTAAAAAACAAACAAAACAAAAAACCCAAGCTTGAATGGTATTACAGAAGAAAAATGAAGAAAAACACTGAAAAAAAACATAAATATATTTTAGCAGTTAAACTTTAACGTAGCGAGAAACCAACAAAAACAAGGCAGCGCTCTGATTTTGCATTGAATTTTCTTCAGCTGCTAACCACAACGCCCCCCAACCCCCAACCCCCTTACAAACACCCCCCTCGTCTATCGAACCCTAATTGTTTTATAAGTTTTAAGCTCTTGTTGTACATATTAATTACGTTTATGAGTAACTATGTTTAGCGCTTTAGTTGTAGGTGGAGCAAAACTACTTTGCTTTTTTTGGATGTTTTTTGAAAAAACTGCAAATTATTATTATTAAATTTTTAAATACCGACAAAAAAACAAAACAAAAACAATGTGTGTGAAATTTTTTATTGTGCGATCTCCGAGCAGAATTGAAGTGCAGTTTGCAACAAATTTTAACTACGATTAAGTTGATAACGATTCATTTTTTATGAATTTAACTAATTTTATGAATTTGTTATAGTTTTCCACCCTTCTATCGACCCCTCTGACTTTCTATCCAGCTATCCGTATTCCCGATTTCTCCTTTGGCACAAAGCTCTTTTCTATGCTAAAGATTCAAGTGGAATAAATATTGTTTTCTAATTTTAAAAATACCACAAAAATACATTAAAAATAAACAAGAAATGAATGAAAATCAAACAAAATGCTTAAAGTTTTAGCAGCAAGCAGTAAGACGATGATGGAGCAGAGAAACCCAACGTTAAATATATCTGTTGTGTATATAGTTAAATGTTAAATTAAACACAAAAACATATTTAAAGTACATATAAATACACATAAATATTAATGAAGAAACCTATGCTTAAAAGATTCAATGTTTGATTGGCATCTTAGAAAACCAAGCAAAAAATACAAAAAAAAGAAAACAGAAATTATGATATATTATTTAAACGTAACGTATACATTTATATTACAGAAAAACAAAAGAGAAAACTTGCGGTAGCAACAAAACTATTATTATAATTACATTTTAATTATGCTGTACTATTATGATTATTAATTATTATGATTAATTAATTACGATTTTTATGCTTAGACAAACCAACAACAAAAAACAAAGATGCAAAAACAACAAAAAAAACAAAAAACAAGCAAAAACTACACTGGCGCAGAAATTTGTATTGTCAAATCAATAAAAAATTTGTTTAAAAATTTCAAAAAAAAACCTCTTAAGTTTTTTCATTTCAATTTCTTTTTCAGTTTTATATTTTTTCCAGTTTTTCAGTTTACTATTACTTTTCTATGGAATGGTAAGATTTTGAATTTCAGTTGGTTTGATTTTCATTTTGACTACCGTGCTGTAAAAAATATTCAACAAATTATATCTAAAGTATTTATATCAGAATTAAATCAACAACAATTTTATGTGTATAAATGAGCCACAAGGAAGACCCTCGGCGTTGGCAGAAAAAAATTTCAGAGAAAAGGAAAAATCTACAAAAATATTATATATTCTTTTAAAATTTATGCAGCGTAAGGAAGCGTTGGTTCCACCAAAAACCACGAAATTTAACAAAGATATCACACTTCAATATTTGACTCAATATATACACACAAGCATATGTACGTAGACGAAACGATTTTGGTGTCTGTGTGTATGCATGTATGTAGGTGTATGTAACATTGTCCGTAACTTTTAGCCAGAAAACAACAACAAAATATTGTAATTGTGTAACTAAAAGTGAATATTTTATGTAAAAACTATCTCAGCATTGAGCGATGACGATGGAGATGGGTGTTTATGATGGTCACGACGATCATGATGACGATGATGATGATAATGGTGATGGATACCGATAGGGATGTCCAAGAGAACGACGGCAGCGACAACTGAAACAATGAAATTGCGACAATTAAGCGTAACGTAACGTAAAAGTATATGTAAAACGTATCCGTAAACAGCCGTAAGAGTTTAACGTAACGTAATAGCAACTAAAAACATTGAAATGAATAATGCAACTTTGAGGCAACTCCAGCTGAGGCATATGAAATACCATATAAATAATATCTATTAATATATATATATATACACATGAATATATTTTCAAGGACAGTCACAAATCAAATTGCGGCAAAAAAGAGTTTTTAAACAAAGATAATTTGGCAAAAATGGTAAAAAAAAAATGTGAAAAATGAGACAGCGAGTGGAATTCAAAAAAGGAAATGTTCTGAAAATTGATAAAAATCTTCATAAAAAATATAAAATTAACAAGAGAAATTTGTATTTGTGAAATAACATAATATTACAGTTTGTTTTAAATGGAAACACAATGAAAAAAACCCCCCAGAATGGAATATGTGAATAAAATATTGAAAATAAGTATTTAAAATATATCAACAAAAATTATGAAAAACAAAACGTATGTGTTTTTATATTCCTTTGGTGGTGTTTTTGAAGATGGGTAAGTTATAAAGGAGTACAGACGTTTCATTGGATTTCAGCATTATCGGAATGACAGCTCATATGTCGTATAAGAAATATTCTTGAAAACTTAGAATTTCAAAAATCTTTAAAATATAAAAAAACAATGTCTTACTTGATATACTATTCTTTGGAAAATTAATGAAATATTTTGAAATCTTAAAATATAAATACGGTATTTATTTAGGGTATTTAAATAACTTGAAATCTTAAAACTTGGATAGGGTATTTATTTAAATTCTAGGAAATTCTTCACAGTCCAAGATCACTGATATAGAGATATATATATAGTTAGGAACTAATAACACAGGTCGGTTACATTTTGAATCAATAGTATTCCGAAACCTTATCATTTTAAAGACAAGTATATATAGATACCTCCGCAACAATGTGGCCCATTCTTAATAACCCTTGGAAACACTCATCGATTCTGGCCCTCCCCCTCGGGCGATCGCACACCACCACACTCACAGGCGCCCAAAGCTTATCACGCACACATACGAACACTTTTTGCGGTTACCGAGAATAGAGATTATTTTCAATGTCGCGCCTGTCTGTCCCAGCTTTTGTTGGTATTCGGCGTTTGTGTGTGTTTTGGAATTTTGCCCGTGACCTTGAGGCGATAAGAGTCGCGAAATGAATTTGCCGAAATAATGAAATCAGCGCTGTGTTGGTGGTAGTGGAAAGGGGTGACCGGGGGGTGGGCCAGCTGGTTAAGGCGTCTGGGCAGCGTGAGTGCCGCGTGTAGATAACGGTGTTCGATGCCAGCGATAGGCAGACACTCATCCCAACACCCGCCCACCAGCCACCACCCCAAAACACCGATAAGGCCAGCTGAATGTATGGGTGTATTCTAATTTTAAGTATGCGAGAGCGAGACACTTGAACACACACACAGACACACGCCTCGTTATCTTCAAAGTCAATGTCAAAGCCAACTGAGAGGAGGCGGAAAGGGAGGGGAGGGGGAGCAGCGGACAGGGGCGGAATTAGAATCAGAACAAGAACAAGAAAAGAAACTGAAAGAGCGCAACAAATTAACTTAGAGTGGGCACGGTGGCGTATGAGTAACGAGTGACAGGCGACAAGTGACAAGCAGGAAATGCAGCAATGCACTGTTTCCGGGGGGTGGTTGTCAGAGGGGTGGTTTCTGGGGAAAGAGAATATCAATGGGTGCTTCCCCTTCTCCGATCTGGCAATCTTTTTCTTGATACTTTTTTATCTGCTTCTTGTGGGTAAAGAGTTTATAAGGCTATGCGAGAAATAAAAGAATCTATCTTAAAGATAGGCATTATAAAGCATGTTTGATACCAGAGAATATTGCAAGCAACATATATCTTTTTAACAAATATTAAAATTTTTAAAAAATCATAGTTTTTGAAGAAATACTTTTTATAGGTATATTGACAAATCAAAATAATATTAAGGTATGAGGATATTTGTATTAAAAGAACTGTGCAATAAAAAAACGTTTCTTAATTCAAGAAGGCTCTCAAATTTTACCATTATTTAAAGCAAATATTTCTTGTTTAATAAAATTTGAATAATAATACCTTTTAGATTTGATTCTAAAATGTTTCAACATTTTTTAAATGACTTTTTTATTTAACATATTTATAATACCAACAGTCAATGGAAATTAGGTACCAAGCTCAAATTAAGTACTGCATATACAAATTAAAGGGTATGTCAAATTTATAATAGTCAAACACCTTCTGCTGATACTTTGGCAGTTATAATATTTAAAAAATCGTAGTTTTTGAAGAAATACTTTTTATAGGTATATTGACAAATAATTATCAAAAGAACTATGCAATAAAAATCTTTTCTTCATTTTAGAAGGCTATAGTTATATATTTTTCTTGATTTATAATTAATTTGTATTTATTTATTAATTAATTATCATACCTTTTAGATATGGTTCTTATATGCTTAGACATTTTTTAAATACCTTTTTTATTTAACATATTTATAGTACCAAGAATCATTTTAGGTAATAAAGTACCAAGCTAAAATTGAATATTCCATATAAAGAGTATAGGGCATGTAAAATTCGATTCCCTTTTATCGTAATCTTCCACCTTCTGCTGATATTCTCGGCAATTTTCTTTCGATATTTTTTCGGCAATTTTTATTTGCGCATATTTCACCTTGAAATAAAACAAGCCTCAAATAAATTAAGGCACAAACAACAACGGCAATAACAACTCGCGCGTAGAAGAAGCAGCGGCAGCGAGCAAATTCCAACGACGGCAAAAAAAAAGAAGAATAGAACGAGAATAAATACACCCGCGGGATGCGGTAGGGGAATAAAACAAATATTCAAGGTTAGCTGATTAGACGAAATTAGCAAAGTTCTAGCAGAT